CGTGTTACTACAAAGCCTGGCACCGTCTCCGCCAGGAAGAGCGAGCCTGGGCGCGGCTGACCCAGCAGCCGGAGATTTAGGGCAGATTTTTATTTCCTTGGAAATGTACAAAATCATCATGTTGAAAGAAAGTCCACATCCTTAAGACTTTTTAAGGTAAAAAGACTAATGGAAGAATTTAAATCGACCTGCAGTGGCTTCCACCACGTGCCAGGATGAGCTGCGGAGTACCCACTCGCCACACGGTGACAGGGCACGGGGCTCTTCACTCGGGAGCTTTTTTGGATGGTCCCCTTGTTGGAGGGAGAATGGCGATGCAGGTAGGGAAAGGAGGTAAATAACAACAGCTCCCCTAACTCTGTCCTGCAAACACCCCCAACAGTCTGCAGCCTGCATGTGACTCAAGCATTTAAAAGTAGAGCACACCTTGTACAGGTGAGGCTGACCCAACTCCAGCCCTATCAGGCTCATGCTTTGAATCTCAAGAGTCAGGACTTTCCCCAGGTTGCTTAAGCATTCAGTGTGACATGCACGTCCTCACCAGCACACCAGATCCCTTAGGCAGGAAGCAGGCAGGACCCGCAGCAGCCTCCTGCTGCTGGGCAGCTGGGCAGTGAGGCCCAGGGGACTGCAGGGAGCTGTGCAGAGCCCCAGCCCAGCCCTAAGGGACCGTGAGCCCAAGCTTCTGTGCTGGTACCACTCTGGAAGGCAGTCCACACAATGTGGTTTGGAGGCGTGTGACTTTGATGGTACCAAGAAGCAACATTGCCTGGAAAACAAAGGTCAGGCTAGGGCCCAGGCCCAGGCCCAGGCCCCCTCTGGCTAGCATGAAAAATGAACAGGGAATAAAATAACACTCTAGGTTCCTCCACACATAGCAACAGGAGCAGTTGGCTACTCACAAGGACCCTACCTATCCGTCCAAGACCTCACTGCAGAATCCTAGAAAAAAGGGCACTAGGGGAGGTTGGGACAGGGAGCTGAGCTCCAAAAAGATGTGGGCATGTGGTTGGCAGAGTGAGTTTTAAAATCTTCGATTAAGATCTGATGGAATGGAACCAGGCCAGACTCTATCTGGAGTGGTTCCAGCAACACTGCCTCCAGGGGCAGACCTCTTTGTCTGTGGCGAGAAGGGGATCTCAGTGTAGGAGGAGAGAGGGCAGGCAATGACCGTGTTATTGGCCAAAACAAGGCAGTGCTGGGCAGCTGGGACCGAGCCGAGGCAGGATCTGTCTTCTCAGGCTCTGTTCTTATTCATTAATTCTGGCAATATTATTTAGGCAACCACCATGACTCAGGCCCTGATGTCGTTGCTGGGGACAGAGATGGGATGATGTCATGGCACCTGCACTTGGGAAGATGGAGGCAAAAGTAATAAGGAAACAAACATAACAGTTCATGGTCGGCACAGAGAAGGCACTGAGGATGGGTAATAGGCGATCTTTTGGAAGGCCGTCCAGCAAAAAGAGGTTATTTGTACCCAAAGAACAGCAAGACAAGGAGCACCCAGCCCTGCCATGAGCTAGGAGAGATGTTTCAGGCTGGGGGCAAAGTCATAGCCATGAACAAGGCAGCAAGGGACAAAGATGTGGCACCAGGAGTGGGGACCACCCACTCCACACATCTGCAGGGTGGCAGGCAGGGGAAGGCCAAAGCCAGTGCCATCACCATCCAGCAGGCAGGCCTCCCTGGCCCTCGTCTGGACAGCTTGCTATCTCAAACACGGAAGGAGGTCTGCATACGGGGAGTGACCGTGCCTTAGAATGCCCCGGCAGCTCTTGTGCCAGTCCTCTCCTACCCAGGATAGCACTGCTGCTTTCTTCTGGCCATTTGGCTGTAGACCAAAGGGACCTTTGCTCTCTGTCAGCCTGAGTTGGCCAGAATAAGAGCCTTCTGCTACTGCCCTGTCCAGCCACCTGTCTGCTGCAAACTCAGACCAGGTATGTTCCTTCTCCAACAAGAACCATCTCCAGCAGAAAGCATACAGGATGGACATCATTCTCGCCGACTAGTTCTCATTCCTGCCGACTAGCTCGTGCATGCCCCTCCAGAAACGACCTGAAGGATGGACATCTCTCATTCCCGCCGACTAGCTTTTGCACGCCCCTCCACACACAACCTGGCTCATGCACCCGCACCACCACCCCCATGGCGGATGCTCTGTACCTGGCATGTTACAGATTGGGGTGGGTGGGAGTGGGGGTGGTGCTCACAGCTGCCTCACCAGCTCCCTCCTCTCCCTGCCAGCATTTCCCGCTGGGTCCTCCCAGGTCACACTCACCTGCTCCTGGATGTACTTCCCAGAGCATGGTGATCAGAACGTGCCAGCAGGAATCAACGCAGCAGATAAAGTCGAGTATTTTGTTAACAAGAACTCAGATTAGATTACCTGTGATTACATGTTTCCTCGGTGTGATAAATTGGTTAATAACAGGATTCCCAGTGTAGTAGTTAATGGGAATCCAATAATTACAGGTAGCCAGAACTATACCGTTAAGCACAGGAAATGCTAGCACCTGCCCTCAGCCCTAATAACTCACAGCCTACCTGGGACAATCAAAGTGGTGGGTTATGACCGAGAACACACACTCACTGAATCTAACACACCACACAGTTGCAGACTCAACTGAAAAGCTCATTTTCCTTGTTAAATGTCCCAGATGAAGAATTCTCTAACAGATACCTTTATTAGTTACCTTTTGTTTCCGTTATGAAATTAGTAATCAATAGATAACAGGAAAACATAACATTTGAATTGCATCTTATAGTTTAGGAAGCGAACTTTCAAGGACTTTTTTTGGGGGGAGGGCAGAGTGAGAGATCCTTTCCATGATTCAGTAAGACAGGACAGGAATGATCATGCCCCTTGAAGTGAAGGAAACCCCTACTCCCATCAGGTGGAAGACGCAGGCTGGAAACCCTGGGTTCCTTCCACTACGGCAAAGCACAGAACTCAGGCGCGAATTTCATGACAGAAACACATCCTTAGATGTCCACTTTCCACAGCTGTCCCTAAGAGGAACTGTGTCCCTCCATCTTTACATTCTGGAGCGAAATTTGATTTTATTCTACTTCCTATAAATTTCAGCGTAACTCAAAGAGGCCTTTTGAAAATGGGAAGAAAGAATAACTCTAATTTTAGGAGCAGGGGTACTAGCCATAAACTTTCCAGACCATTCTTCTTTTTCAATTTTTAATATTATAGTCTTTGACAAGAAAAAATGGAATGGTGGATTTAAACAGAAAATCATCCATTAGATGGCTCTTGAACTTGTTTTAAAACTCCAGATAATAGAGCTTTGCTATTTTGTCTTCCTAAAATGTCAAAATTTGGCTAGGATTAACAGCTCTCTCAATCAATAGGATTTCGTGTTTGTAAATGGTTTACAGCTCCAGTGGATATAAAATGTTAGGAACTCAGGCTCTCCCATCACCACTGAGCCCTGACTGAAATCTACTGACATTTACATCCAGCGTCCAGACCAGACAGAGGGGGAGGACAGAGCAGCATCCTCCCGGGGCTGGCCTAGACCCAGGGCACTGGCAGGGGTGGGTGTGCAGGAAAGGGGGCGAAGCATATGCATGCCGAGATCTTCATGAAAAACAACATGTAGCCGGGAACTGTTATCCAAATGCCATGGGGACCTGTGAGGAGGAATAGAGAGGGAACATGGTCCTTTCCAAAGCCATGCAGGGCAGGGAGGACTCTGGGCCAGCTGATGGCCTTCCTCAGAACAATTCTGTAAGAACATGTACTTTACAAAACCATCTTTAATCTCATCTTTCCAACACAACGTTATCATGACTGGTCAGTGTCCTTCCACAAGTCTACATGTTTGCACACTATGCCTTGAACTTTAATTATAACGAAAGTGATTACAATTTAGTGCCGTTTTATTGTTTTATTCTTATTTTATTTTCTCATGGAGAAACTGGCGTTGACTTGGTGAACACACTATTTCCCCAGCGTCAGGCACGATGACACGAGTCTTTAAGATGAGTAAGATTTTGCAAGATAGCATAAACCAAAGTTGTTTCCTATCACGAGTGATTCATGTGAAGTAAACACATTTGTCTGATCTTGTGACACGGTGCACAGAACAGAGCTTGCGTACCCCTGGGAGGTCTGTACTGACATGACCTCAGCCCACTCACACTTGGGTTTCACATTCTTACTCCACGAAGCTCATGTAAACAGTCTATGAACAGTGAAGTTACTCACATTCCACACTTTTCAGTTCAACAAATATATTATATGCTTTAATACCAACTATGTACTTTATCAAAACTTTAAAGGTTCACCCATGGAAGCATATACGTATTTTCCAAAGAAAATGAGCCTGTTTTAAATAGTTCACAGAGACGTAGAGCTCAAACATACAATAGCCAATTGCTTATTACTATATCATAAAAATTACATTATTTAAAAAAACTACATGAACAGATTAATAAATTATGGTATATGTACACCATGTAATATTATGCAGCCTTAACGAAAGATGGAGACTTTACCTCTTACATGTTTACATGGATGGAGCTAGAACATACTCTTCTTAGCAAAGTATCTCAAGAATGGAAGAAAAAGTATCCAATGTACTCAGCCCTACTATAAAACCAACTTACAGCTTTCTAATGAAAGCTATAACCCAAGAAGAAGGGGAAAGGGAGGGGGGAGGATGGGTTAAGGGAGGGTAATTGGTAGGACCACACCTACGGCACATCTTACAAGGGTACATGTGAAATTAAGTGTAGAATATAAATGTCTTAACACAATGACTAAGAAAATGCTGAGAAGGCTATGTTAACCAGTTTGGTAAAAATATTTCAAATTGTATATAAAGCCAGCACATTGTACCCCATGTTTGCATTAATGTACACAGCTATGATTTAATAAAAAAAAAAATACACGTGATTATGTCATTATATTTTGCTGTCATTAAGGGGGCATCTTCCTACGGTGAAGGTGGAACACTAAATTCTGCACTATCTTTTCTTTCCAGTGTGGAGCTGGACTTCAAGCAGCAAGAAGACAAACTCCAGCCAGTTCTGAGGAAACTCCACCCCATTGAGGAAACTCAGGTTGCACCCTCGCCTTACTCTCAGGAGACGTACTCCTCCACTCCCAAGCAAAAATCCAAAACGGAATCCAAAAAGCATGGAAGATGGAAACTCTGGTTCCTTTAAAACTCATGGTGTTTGGAGTCTCAAGGCCTCTTTAAAACCCACTGGAGTTAAAAGTCAATCCTCTTCCAAAATGAATAGGATTGGGGGAACTAGAGTGCCGGCCTGGGCACCACCCTCTTCTCGCCCTGCGTACCAAAAAGGCCTTTGTACCAACAGACAATTAGCAGAAGCAAGGTATTCGGGGTCACTCCTTGCCGGCTGCTCTCTGCCGCTCACTGATGTGGGATGTACAATCTGAAGTGAAACTTTCCTAGTCAAAGATGATAAGTAAAAATTCTATTCCCTCCCCCCTCCCCGATCTGCAACCGTGTATCAGCCTGCGAAATGGCAGGCTGTCACTCTGTACACAGCTAAAACTCATAATTATTTTCAAGCCTTTATTTTTTTTTTAAATGAGAAGAAACAGCAAGCCTTATGTTTGCAAAGGACCTCATTTTTATGTTTCATTTTGCAAATAAGCGGGGGGGGGCGAGTGCAATTTTCAGCACATCAAATTCCGGAGAAAGCACAATTTTTTCAAGTGGTCGGTGACCATGAATAATCTCTAAAATGTGACTATATGTATATTTGCCTTCACGTGCTGTAGCGCTAAGCTGAGTGACCACATCTCGGTGTCACATTGACACTTCACACTTGGCATCCTCTTCATCTCCAGACTTAGAACATGTTTACCGCTCCTTTTCCATCTGGCCAGCAGCCAGGAGTCCCCCAAAGTCAGGAGATGCCTTTAATTACTGCAAGTTGACAGGGTCAGAGCTACTGAACAGTAAGCTTTCCTAGATCATGTTTTTTAATCTTTGGGTGCCCAAAGGCCAAATGATAAATTCTGGCAAGAATTTGAAAACACGGATGGATAAGACCGTCACCAATAAATCACAGGCGTCCTGTGCCGTGGCGGAAAGTGTGGTTGTGGCTCACGCCTCTGAGGCCGTGTTCACACTGTCAGCACAGCCAGATGTTTCCTGCACGTGTGTCTGCTTTGCCACAGCAGCAGAAGACCTGACCATCTCAAAGAGAAACAGCGTGTTTAGTTTAGCTGCTACCATCGGACAAACCCAATGTCGCCTACATTTAACCTACTAGTAAGTTGTACTAAAAACGACATACTTAGGGGAAAGCTGTGAATCAGATGTTTTTAGGTATTTTTTAAATCAGTCCTAACATGTAGAGTTCTCTCTCGATGACACGTTGCCATGTAAATCTTAGTTCCTTTATTTTTTCACTCATTTCTTTGCACCTTTGCCAGTATCTTTTTATAGAATCTCAGTTCCCTCGTCTGTGAGTGACTTTGTCTATCGACTTTTTGCTTCTCACCATAGGAAATAGGGATCTCATTTTGCATTTTTTTGTACAACTTAAATTTTGAACAGTTTGTGGACGTGTAAGAAACCCTAGTCTTCAAGTTTCTGTCCTGCAGTCTCCTACCAAATCAAGTGCTGACCTGTGCCCCTCACGGATGACATGCCAAACGCACAGCGGCTGGCCTTGGTGAAAGGGTTTCAACCTGCTTGTTCTGACTGGAGCTACTTCTTGCGACCCATGTCCCACCTGACTCGACAGCAAACCCATGTTGGTTCTAAGTGTTTGGATCCTACAAGGAGCTAGTGATCGGTAGTCAGATCTGGACGTGACCAGAGGTGGAAGAGTATAACCCGTAGACACTCTGGGGGTGGCTCAATAATGCAGATGTACGCTTTAATTCCAAACTCGCACACACACGCACCTATCTTTTGCAGAAACACTATATGAGGATTCAAATCCCTGAGTATCAGTAAAGAGAATTAAGAAATATTTTTGTGCAAGAACTAAGCAAGTTGATCCTGCACCAGGAAGGAAGTGCAATTGTTTCACGTAGACTCGAAATTTAAAAATGTGTTTCATGTTTTTATACTGTTTTTAACTGAAGTTATAAAAATGTCTGCAACATGTTCTCTCTCCTTATGTTTTAAGAAACCCAGCTATCTCAGTGAATTGAAATAAGGGTGTTAGCACTGTTCTAATCAGTACTATCAATCTGTCTAAACAAGAGGACATCCTAATACACAAAATAATGTCACTGTTTCAAACCAGTCTAGACAAAAAAAATCCTTTTAATTTGCAGAGTCAAAAATGAATCTCTGAAGATAAGCTAATTCCTCCTTAAAAATAAAAGTATCTTCAAAAATAGAGAAAAAAATATTTTCAGAATCATTTCATAGTTTGATTGTAATTGTTTCACTAATAGACGGTGATTCTTCTCTTGGAAAGATTCAAGTAAAAACTTTGATACAAAACCAAGGTAAAACATAACAGTGTTCCCTCATGTAGATGTACGCGTGGCATTACGTATAGAGATTAAATTATTATACTTGTCATTAAGTTCTTTATTAATTTTTAAATAAAAAATCAAAGATGACATTGTATGCAGCTACTTGAACTTATTTCTTGTCTTTAATGAATTGGGAAAATAAAAGGAATCTAAGAAAACAGTAAGGGAAGAAGGGGCAGAAACACATTCCAGCAGGTCTGTATAAGACAAAACCACCCTGTGCCGGGCACCGCCCCCCAGGCTGGCCCGGCCTGGCCTGAGGAGGGACTGAAATGCCTGCCCAGACACATGCCCGCCACAGGCTTTGGCTGCCAGAACTCCAGGGTACACAGGGCATCACAGCAGGATGGGTCTGACTGAAGTGTATTCTTAACCTCAGAGGAGATGACCAACCGTGTCCAGTGCTGCCAAGCAGATCCTCCATGGGCCGGCAGAGGTGCTGCTCTCAGCGCTCCCATGGGGCAGGTGCCCAGCCCCAGACACCTTCTCTTCTCCTCCCAGTGGGAGACAGGCACCCTGCTGGGCTGTGCACCGCCCCTCCTACTCAGGCCAGCCTAACATCACCCCCATCCCCACAGGTAGCTAATAGTGGCCTCCCCAGGACAGTCTGCAGGAGGCCACTACCCCCTCCCCGATGTCTACAACAGCAGAGTCAACATGTCAAGAGTGAGGGTGCCGTACACTTGGAGGTGAGGCTCCTGTGACCCTCACAAGTTCATCAGGGGGACGAAAGGGACAAACAGGAGGGACCTGTGCAAAAAGAGAAGGAAGCCTGAGACAGGACCTCCTGGAGCGGGTGTGGGGAGGGCTCAAGGCTTACTCTGTGACCATTTCTGAGCCACCTACTAAAGCTGCCTCAAAGTCCTGTCCCATAGACACCAAGACACCATGAAGGGCATCCTGGGCACTCGACAAGTATGTGAGTCACCTGCTGCTTCAACCTCAGACCCACCACCACCTCCAGCAGTAGGAGCAGGGAGGAACTCTGCCAGGGGAAAACCCTGCTACCGCAGAAAGGGCCTCAGCAGAAACACTTCCCACATATGCTGCACGGCTGCAGGTATCACCTGCCACGGGGTCAGAGAGTGGCTGAACCAGTAGGTGCGGCCACCGTCACAGACCACAGCTCAGCATCAGGCTAACACACTCCGGTCTTCAAACAGCATCAAGAAAGATGCCTTGCAAGACCACTTTCCTCGGTGGATCATGGTGGGCATGTCCTAACTGCCATACCATGGCTAATTAAAACTCAGAAAACACACCATCAAATAAATGTGTTTTGGTTTTTTGCCTCTCGTAGAAGAGAGGATGGACAGGAACAAGAAACAGGCCATGCACTTTTGCATTTCATGCTGTTTGTAACAGCGATGGCTTGTTTACAGAACCTACCACTGGCAGGTCAATTCTTTGGGAGCATTTTTGTCAACAAATAAAATTGACTTGATTACTAATCAGGGCAGTTTCATGGGTTCAGGGTCACCTAAAGATCACAGTAGCTGCTTTCCACGCCGTCACATCTTCTTTGATCTATGAAAATTGTACCAGGAGCACATTTGGCATGTGCAAATCGGGCAGGCAATTTACTTACCAGAAGTAAACAGCAATCTGATCCAAAGATCAGAAATGACCAGAGTAAACTGATCACGCTGTAATGCGGGAGCATAGGTTTTGGCCAATGACAAGGTCACGTGAGACAACATAGTACTTTTTAAGTAGCCCAATTGTTAACTCAAGACACCTGTGCTGTTTGCTATGCGAATACAAAAAACCAGCACAATTTTGCCCATTTGATGATGGGGTTTTTCTTTCCACAGCAGTAAACCCACAGTTACTGAGTAACCCTGAAAAAACACAGGAATATAAGAAGAAAGGAAAAATTTCGTAGCAACACCAAATAAAAAGGGAACCTACAGAGTCATCATGGCTCACACACAACACGTGTTAAAATGCTTTTCAGAAAGCAAGTAGGTTTATTAGCACACAGAACAATTAGAGATATTTTTTATGATCTCTGTATACAAAAGGCACATATCTGTCTGAAACAGTCATAGCATGTTGTTTTTCTTTTCCAAAAGAAGATTAACAAATAGTGGTCTTTAAAAATACAATCATCCTTAACCTTCGTTAGCGTAAACATCTCAAAAGGAATACTGATATGGGGATAAAACATTTTTGTTTTTTGAAAATATTTGGTTATGAGTCTTGATAAAAAAGGCACTATTCGCTGGGAAACCAATTCTATTACACTGTTTTCCAAATGAAGGAGCATGTCAGGTCCTCATAAATCACCCAGGCCCAAAGAAAGCCCTGGATCTTCACTAACAGCAAATTCCCCACCAATGATGCTGTTGTCACGATGAAACACAGTCCCCGTCTCAGCAATGTCCCCCCACAATTGGTGTTCAGAGTGGAAACCAACAAACTCCCATCATTTGAGTCTAGTGAGTCAAGCTGCACCAGTGATCACAAGAATAAATGGAGAATCCAGGCAGCATTCTCCCCTTCCCTAAGCCCCCCTCTTTGAATTTTGCAGGGGAACCTTTCCTTAGAAGCAGCTTACATATTCATTTTAGTGAATGAGTAATTTCCAGGCTTCTGATGTGTATCCAGGCCATAGAAAAATCTTTAAAAGTCCTTCTCACTCGATTACATTTTTAAAGGACCCATTAACAGAATGTAAATCTGATCATTTGAAAGAAGCAACAGCAGCTGATATCATAGCAGAAGAAACA